AGCGTTTATATAAAGTAAACAGTAGATACAAAAGGTATAAGCATTTATGTTTATTATGGTTAGGCTTATTAGGTTACGGACCTAAACATAAGGTCAGCTTAGGAACTGAAGAGGACCTATCGATAACGTGCAGCGTCGTTGCGTCGCGGCACGTAACACCCCTCACGATCTCTACGAAAAAGAATGCAGCTCACGCGATCACGTGTCATGCCGTGTTGCTTTAATATATTATAATTTATATACATGTATGATTTATACATGTATAATTAAATCACAATAAAGAAACTAGTAGAAAAATAAATAACGAAGTATAATTTTATTTTTTTTCTATTTAAATTAAAATATAACTATCAATTCGGTTTTATTTCAATGCATTTTATTGACATACAAATTAAGCATAACATCGAAAAAGGGCTAAATTCGTAACATTAAGAAAAACAAAAAAACAATTTTAAATTCAACGAAAAATAATTTGTTCTCTCGTACAAAAGCAATTGTTAAAAATCCTGACATTATAATGTGTTCACAAGTTGATTTAAAGAACAAATAGAATTTTTTCGTTAGATATAATACTGATAAAAATGTATAAAACATATAATTAATGTGAGTTTGTGAAGATATAATGTATTTGTTTAAATTTAGATCAACTTGTAGACTTCAGAAAATTATGTCTAAAATGTTAAACATAATTAATAGGTTTTATTCATAGAAGCTCCCCAAACAGCAAAAATATTCGAAATACATCATAGCGATATCCTAAAGATATCACATATCCTAAATATATCTTTAAGATATTCCTACAATATATTTTGGACACTTTTGCTATGTGGGTCAAATCATAAATTGTACTTTTAAGTTGTATTAATACTTATTTGCATAAAAAATTCAAAATTGTAATATATTTATAAAAAGAAAAAACATGTTTTGTTGATTTAAAAAAATATTTTTTTATCAGTTTTGTTAATTTATCTACTGCAATATTATGCGAACCAAATATTAGCCGATGTAAAATTAATATTTCTCACAGATCGATGTAAAAAGAAAATTCGGAGTGCTAGTTTCACATCTTCTACTGTTCTCAATCAACTCCATTATCTTATCTGAATCTTCTGGCAATAGATCTCGAAATTCTTTAGTATTTATGATATCGTTTTTATAAAGCTTAAAAAAAGTTGCTGAGTGTGATTCTAAATATTTTGCATTAGATGAAAACGCAAGTTGTACAAGTTTCATGGCATTTTCAATCGTAATATGGCGTAACAAATAATGTTTACACGTTAATTTTAAAGCTGATACATCATACTTATTGGCTATTATTAACAATTGTTCAAGCATGCAATAATTATCTTGTATTTCTTCTATTGAACCAGTTAAAATAAATAACAAAAGGTATTTAAAAGCTTGTACCTCATTATTTCTCTTTAATTCATTTGTTAATTCTTTTTCGTCTTTGTTATGTGTAAGGCACATGTTCTTAAAATAGCTACTGTTGGTAGCATACAATAATTTTTTCGATATAACATATTGTTCTTTATCTATTATAAATTTTATCGAGTTCACATTTTTAGGTTCAAACTGATTAAATGTTGAGTCTTCAGATGTTTCGTCTTTTGGATATACTGTTGAGGATGGTAAATTCATATGTATAGTGTTACTTATTACTATATGAAGAATTTCAAACTTGCAGCGTATTATAAACGTATCGGTGTAAATGTGGTCAAGGTCCGAAATTTCCATTAATAATGTCATATCCTTTATATAACCCGAAACTGATTTTGATAGTACAGATTTAGGCGGATTAATTACAGTACATGAACCAGTAAATGGTGTATTAGTACGTATGTAAAATTTGATCGCTCTTAGAGATTCAGGCGGCTTCATCACAGTACATGAACCGGTATCTTTGGTAAAGTCGGCATTACAAATTTGATCTCACCTGGAGATTTAGATTTACGTATAATGTTCATTTGAATCTTGTATTTACGATTTTCTGGAAATTGTGCAGAATCTAATGTATCTAGAATTTTACAAACAAGCTTAAATTGATCGATTTTCCATGAATACTCGAATGTAGTCGATTCAATTTGTGTGGTAGAATAACTCTTCACATATGATGGTAAAGATGATAAAGCCTGCTGTTTTTCTGAAGACTCCTCAGTAAAGACATTCTTAACTTGCTTTTCGTCAGAATTCTGAAAATAAGCAATTTACTTACAAATAATGAAAATAATAAAGATCGGAGTGTCTTAAAAATCTCTACATCTTTTTTAGTAAAATATATTGAATTTATTTATAATTTTATACATCGTACATTTTGATGTATCTAATACATATTTTATATTAAGTGAAATTCTTCAACACTTTGATATTATACGATATATTAAACAAAGTTATATATCTTGAATTCTGACAAATAGTAGATAAGTCTGCAGTAGACTTTTCGCAGTAATAATTTTTAATTGCATTCAAATAACATGCACTAGTAAAAATTAGATTTGATATATCTGCAGGATATATGTATGAATTTTCTTCGTTATGTATGCTTCAAAATATATTGAATTGTCATTTTAGGAAATGTCACAAATACATTGATTCGTTTATACAAAGTCTTATGTGCTTTCTAGCGTTTTAATAACGTACAATACGTATTCATAAAATTGAGAAGAAATATTAAGAACCTTACCTCTTTTCCTTCCATTATAGTATTCATTTTCTGTTAAATATCTTGATTGAGATAGATTTCAAGTTCTTTTAAAGAGCTTCGCTGATATTCCACACTCTGTCCAGATAATAATATTAGAATAATGCGTGTACAGATTTCGTATGGACACCAATGGCAGGCATATGTCCTTTGCTTACCGTTATTTGCAAAATAGCGATATATGTAACAATAATACCGTCTGTAACGACAATGGCCGACAATGCGATGCCAGAAATGAGAAAAATAAGACTCGTGCCTTCTCATGGTTTCTACGAAAAAAAAGTGACTCACGCGATCACGTGTTATCCAGCCCCATCGAAAAGGAAATGGAAGGGATATTCACACAAAGAAAAGCCACCTTTATAGTTTACGTACGTCAAAGTGCTTAACGCTAATATGAATATGGCTCATTTTTGCGTGAGAGTATTCCTTTCATTTCATTTTCCACGAAGCCGCGTCTCATTTTTG